TTCGGAATTAAAGGAGCGAAAACTCCGCGAAGAGGCGCAGAAGGCAGCGATTCGGTTCGAACGTGCAAATTCGATGCATGCAGTTGCGAAGCAGCAAGTGAAGCTCACTCAGGATAGTCTGAATAGACAAAAATGCATTGAGCCAGAATGTCTTGAGGTTACACTCCTCTCATCTTATCATTTACGTTTTCTCATTGTTTCTGAAATTCTTCCATCATAATTTGAAAATATCAGATAAATACTCGAAGTGACCAGAGTAAATGATGTTAATTGAATTAAAGGTATTAAATCATCATATTCAACGTGTTAATGAAACGGAATCCGAAAGGCAACAAGCCGAAGAGATGCATCGTAATTTATCAGCGCAAATGGCGAATACAGCCATGAAAGTTATATCTCTCCATAAACAAAACGCCCGTGCCATTAAAAAAAGTCGTCATTATTTCGATCAGCGTATTGAATTCACTCGTGTTCTGGAACAGCAAAAAGATCTCATCGTTAAACTCGAAATTGAGGTGAACATTCATCCTGTTATGCTTCTTTGCATTTTACTTCACTTCTTATTTTCGTCACATCTTTTTATATTTGGCAGTTGCTCTTATTTTCCTGATCATGCTGTAATATAAATAATAAGTTTGTTCTCTGCTTAGGTCCGTCAAAAGAAATTCGATTATACGACATCGTTGAGGAATCTTGAACAAATCTCGGATTCGATTCATGAACAGAGAAGTGTTCGTTACATTATGATTTCATTTCATACTTTTATGCTTCATGAAACTCTTCTGTACCATTATTCAACTACGAATATTCATCCTTAATTAAACGTAACATCCATAACCCTTTTGAAGCTGATGACCTTGAGTTGTATGTCGTCGTGTGGGCGATACAATAGTATTAATTCGTGAATTAAAAAAAACGCGTTTTTTGGGAAGAATTGACGTGCCATGGAACTGTTTCAGTTGTCAAGCATGAAAAGAGAAACTGGTGTGGGTTGTGAATATCCGGAAACGTTCGCGAGTGAACAGCAGTCGAGTGAATCTCAGAAACGTAAGAATGAAAAAGAACATGAAGAGTCTCGCAAGAAAGCAGATCAGGATAATCAAGAAGCACTCAAAGGCATTCGATCCAAACTCGATCAGGTTCTTTTATTGATTTATGTGCATCGAAGTTTTCTTTGCTGAATATATAAATCACAAATGTAATTGCTTTTAAAACAGTTGCCTTCAATGAAACATTTCTTGGTTATTTTAACCTCAGTTTGATTAACAATTAACGTCGGTTTGCAAACAGTTGAGTTTTTTCTCAAACCAACTGATTTCGTTATTGTTTCCGATGAAATAAGATGAACGTATAGAATTCGGGTGCGTCGAGTTAATGAATTTGCTCATTTTATCCATGAGCGTAACAGTAATAACGAACTTATAGATGACAATGAACTACGATAAATCGATCGATGATGCGTTGATATTTGTGGATGATCAAGATGATCAGTACCAAAATTCATCAAAGAACGTTAGTCTCGGTTCGGGAGTGATATTGCTAGCACAACAACTGATAAGACCACATGATAAATCGCATCAAAAATCGAGCACGTCAATTGTGTATGTCTTTTATTTCTCTATTCGGAAAACTTTGCATCTGTTCAAAATGCTCTGTTACAAAATCCAAACTCAATCAGATTTAGTCAAAATTTTTGGAATCTTATGTTCATTAAACAATTAGAAAAATCTTTGTTACTTTGTTGTTCACTGATCTAAAACAACACTTCATTTGAAACCAATTTAGCCAAATAGACCTTCATAAAGCGTTTCATCAGTTTGTAATCTATATAACAGACTTCAGACTGTCAAGAGATGATTCAGCAGCATCAGATTTCCGTTATCAGACGGCATTGCCAAAGGGTGTGACAATGGGTGGAAGTGACGATGTTCAGCAGAACATTAACAATTCTTTCGAGACCAGTGATAGCGAATGCTCGAATGAAAGCAGTACTCATAATGATTCGGTTATTGGTACTGAGGAATTATGTGGAATGTTGCGCAGTCACACTATACTTATGAAGGTTAATTGCCTGTCTTTTGCTTTAATATTTATATATTTTTAAATGGAGTCTATAAATGAGTGTCCCGCGTGAACTAACATGAATTCAACCATTGAATTTAAGTGGCTGCAGTTTTTAGATTTGTTCATTTCATTTCTGTCCATACCAACATACACTTTCAGTTCAAATTATGATTGCTATTGAAGCGTCGTCATAATGTTTCTGAAACTCATTCCATTAATGATATTTGAATAATAAATCGAACGCAACATTTTTTCATCGTGTGATGTATTTGGTCATTCGTTGGTGATTGGAGTTGCGATTATGAATTATTAATTGTAAGCAATTTTATGATGGAATTATAAAAATAATTAACTACTTTGAAAAAATACAGGAGATAAAAGAGTGTACAGACCGTACGGGGAATATATTGCAAAGTGGTGTAAGTGATGTGGAGAGGAGCAGTGCAAGTGGCGATAGTAATGCTGGATATTAGACATTCGACTGAGTATTGCAACACCCTTTCCGTTTCATTTCTCATTGTTTTTTGTCGATTATGTTGATTATCTTATTGTTTCTTCTCTGTATGTAACTATATTTATTTGAATATAGTTATGGATCTACTTTTGGCAATGCCGTAAGGAAATAGTATCGGGATTGTGGTTTGTTGTGAAATATGTTAAATTGATCCTTTGTGGTTGAATGCCTACTAGTTTACTTCGCTTTGGTCAACCAAATGATTTAGTTACTCATTTGAATCATATTTTCGATTAGTGTTTGTTGGCAGTTGAGATTGAAGCAACAGGGGTTGTGGAAATTATCTTATCTGTCACGAGATTGGATTATGGTAATTGAATCGTTGGTGCCGATTAAGCGGTCATCAGAAAGTCTGCAAAGTGAACTTCTGAATGTGGCCATCGATCTTTTGTTGCCGTTTCGGAGTATATGATCACAGAAGAAATGGTAATGATGCCTCTTTAGTGTTCTTTAAATTAATGTTGATTTAATTAGTGACATCTTGAGATCATCTTAATTAGTGACATAAAATGAACACAAAACGTGATGAATCATTGACTTAAGTTATTCCGGTGATAAATATTTTCCTTTGTTGTAATCATATACCAGTGTCAATGTATTTCGCAACAGGTAAGGCGTCTGCAATCCCTGGCATGAGATTTTTGGAATGGGTCATTATTC